TGGAAAATATTGTGAATTAAGATGTTGCGTAACATCCTGATGAATTGAATGATACATTTTTGCGTATTGAGAAAAAGTCTAGTAAGGAACAATGTGACCAAACGCTGAAAGAAATCTTGCTCTAAAAGCAGAAAACACTAAAACATTAACCTAACCGGAGGGTATCTGTCTGGGGTATTTTTGAGCTAAGAACTGGGGAAAATCAAATTATGCTGTAACTTGAAGTGGAAAAGTGAAAAATTATCACTGAAAGATCAAACGAAGTATTTCAGAAACATTCATACGCCTATAACCAAAACATTCACGTGTACTTCTTGTTAACTCTGAATAATCTCGGAAGATTTTTGATAAACGAAAAAAATTACTCTATTAAGAGATTCTAGACAAGTGAATAGGAGAGCTTGCAATCGTTGATTTTTATGAAAATCATGGAGCATGACTTTTTCTTAGCTGAGAGGTAGAGCACTAAATTTTCATGAAGGAATCTGTACTTTTGAGTACGTCTGTACAAAGCTGATGTATTTGTGGGGTTGCACACATTGTTTTAACTTTCGATTCATTGTTGAAGAGAAGAATAACTAACTGGAGATTGAACAAAAAAGTAGAGCAAATTCATACTGAACACACAGCATCAGATCAAATGAAATGATCAACTCTATTGCAATGATAATGCTGAAAACACTAAACTTATTTTGGAAATCAATTTCTTTAAGTTCAGGTTTAATTAAGCTGATGTGGCTAGTAAGTATTGGTAAGACAGCTAGCAAGCCATTTTGACACAGAGCATAAAGATGAAAATAGAATAAAATTCAACATGTAAGCTTCGTTCGTCAATTTTACTTAGTTTTTTTATAACTTTTTTGACAATATTAATAGCATATTTTACCAAGATAATATTACTTCATTGTACTGAGCGTATAACTGCAGTAAAGAAAGGAAGAAACAACGAAAATAGGCTTTCTGACAATATGATGTATAACTATGCTAATTAAGCTAAGAAACGAGAAAGCTTGTAACGATAAAGCACAATCTAGAAGAGCAGAAAAAGGTTTTCAAAATTTGAGAACATGTTCGCAAATTCAAGTAAAATGCCGTAGTGTCGCCAGTAAAGAATGGCAGCAGAAGCTTTTACTGCTGGTGCACGGCCACCAGCTCGGACACCCGTCGTTTTGCTAAGAATGAAGTCATCGACAACAGCTGTTCGTAGGCAGCTTGCGAAAACATGCGCCATTTGCAAGCTGCTCGAAAACAGTTGCAAATCATATCAGTGGAGACGCAGTTGCTCCTTATTATAGGTTGTGTTTGCACAAGCAAACCTTGAAATGTGTTTGAAAAAAGTATGCTCGTATTCGCAAATTCGTTAGCAGCAGACTTCTATGTATGATACCACTCTCAGAATGTGCAAAATTTCCGTGAATGTTGCGGAATTCCGGGAATTCCACGAAAGTCCGTGACATTTCCGGAAGTCCCCGACATTCCGGCGAATCCGCGAAATTCCAGGGATTTCGCGGAAACTACGCGAATCACGCAAACTACGCACTACGCAAACCCATGACTTCCTTCGAAATGAATGTATTCTGAATCCGGAGGCAGCATTGTGCTCAGCTCGTTAAGACGAATCTTATAATATGCAACATGTCCTCAACATTCCGTTTCCAGTTTTCTCGAATTCTTCGGCGGAGGTCCTTTCGCAAGGATGTAACGCGACGCCTATCTAACGCAAAAGGTACCGGTAAGTACTATTTGATAGTACTGTTCCTGTAGATTATAGTGCGCTGGAAATTGGCAGCAGACTTTTTCCAAAAGAGATAAAAATGTTGGTGAATTCTGGAAAATCACACGCTTCCAAATTCTACTCGCCGTAACTTCCTTCAAAATAAATATATTCTGAATCCGAAAAAAGCATTGTGCTCAGCTCCTCAACTCGAATCTTTCCATATACAGCACGTACCTGTTCTGACTTCAGTAGTTCGCAATCTTTCTGCAGACGTCTCTTCGCAAAGATGTAAAGCAGCGCGAGCTCCTCTAGTAGATTCCAGCAAAGACATTTCGATAGTACTCATTCTGTAGATTATGCAACGCTAGAAAGTAGCCGCAGACTTCTTAAAGGAAATGGAAGGGTTGGGTAATTCTTGAACTCACACATAACCCTAAAATATGAAGTTCTCTTGCTGAGCAGATATGATTTTCATAATCAGCAGTTTGGATGATCTTTATGGGCAAGTTTCCGAGATGTGCGGGAAATTTCTTTCTTGTTTTACACTCTGTAGCTCGCCGATGGATTGGTCAAAATGTTTGATGATTTTGGATTGTACAGAAACTTCGCTTATAGAGGTTGGAAATGCTGTTCACGAAAATCGTGGTCTTTGAGGAATAGGGGTCTTTTTGCAGAGATATGGTGAGATAACTGTAACTGAGTTACGAAAGTTCGTATCTTCGCCTGCACTTTTCCGTATCTTCGTACGAATTCCCGCCGAAGTGCGCACGGTGATTCAGACCATGAAGCTGAGTGTGCTGTACAAACTTTTCACGAAGACTATCCTCGCTCGCGTATCTAGGACACTGGATGGAACCCAACCCCAAGAACAAGCTGGATTCCGCAAGGGATTCAGTTGCATGGGCCACAACCAGACGGTGTCGATGGTCATAGAAGTCTGCCGGGAGTACTTCGTCGACTAGAGAAAGCCTTTGACAGCGTCGAAACCAGCGCCATCCTGTCTGCGCTGTCGATCAAGGAATGGACCCAGCATACGTGAGGACGTTAGCCGACCGCTATAAGGACTGAACAACAACGGTGCAGCCATTCCATCGCACCCTGACCATCCCAATTGGGAAGGGGGAGACAAGGCGACACAATCTCGCCGAAGCTGTTCACCGCGGCCTTGCAGTGGGTGATGAAGTCACTAAACTGGGACGAGAGAGGCTTACGAGTTGATGGGAGATATCTGCCAAACCTTCGTTTTGCGGACGTTCTCTTCTCGAGCAGCATCACTGAAGCAGAGACGATGTTGAAGGAACTAAACGAAGTGGGAAAGAAGATGCGAATGGCTTGGAAGAAGACTCAGTTTATGAGGAATGCTTTTCGCGAAGATGCAGAAATGGATTTGGAGGGTACCCTTATTATGGAATCGTCTTCTTATATGTATCTCGGACGTTCGATGAACATGAAGAACGACCCGAGGGAAAAATTTAACAGGAGAAAAAGAGCAGCCTGGGCCGACTTCGGCCTCTGAAGGAAGCTACTGACCAACTGACGGACCCGGAGCTTCGTGCCCACCTGTTCGACTCGACCGTTCTCCCGGCGCTCTATTACGCAGCTGAGACTTCGGCCGACACTTTAGCCACTTCGAAAGCTTTAAGGGTTATCCACAGAGCGCTCGAGCGCAGTCTTTTGAAGATGACCCGACACAAGCAACATCTAGTCGGACTTCGCAGTACGGATATGAGAAGAATGTCCCGTTTTCGTGACCCATGAGAAGATAGTCCCGTTTTCGTGACCCAGCGGAATACCGAAAGCGAAATACCGATGGCCGGTCGTATCATGAGAAGAATAGACGACAGATGGACACTAAGAACATCTGAGTGGATTCCTCGCAAAGCCAAACGTCTCCGAGGAAGAACCAACGAGATGGGCAGACGTGTGGAAGGATGGACATGCTGAGAAATCAGCTGGATACGATTTTCGTCCCTGGAACTCGTGGATGCAGCCATGGACGACAATCAAGAAAATCGTGGATGTCCAAAGCGCGGGACAAGGATCAATGGAAACTTCTGTACTGGGGCCCGCACGTTTCGTGAGGACGGACCATCTAAGTATCTAAGTAAGTATATACCTCTGCTGAGAGTATGTACCTATTCAAAGCTTCGACAATGTGTGAAAGGTCTTCTCAAATCATATAGCAGTCATCAGCAGAACGATGCGGACTTGTCGTTCTACTCCACCTAAATCCAAAATCCAAAAATTTACTTGCGAGAGTTCGGTATAGAACTGAGGCCAAATGCATTCTAATATTATTCTATTACTCTAGTATTATATTATGCATCCAATGTCCTTTCTTGAAATAATGTAATGATTTTGTTTGTATGATGGCACATTACAATTGAGTAATGTATTAAATAAATAAAAAATAAACATGTTAGATACACAAATGAAGATAGTGTCAAAAAGGCGAACTGGTTAAAAGGATTGCTACAAATCATATAGTGTTCTAATGCAAAATGCAATCAAAGTCAGTGTTTAAAATTTGTGATGACCAATTTGGTTCAAAGCTCTAGCTTACTTCTTGTTATCATAAAAACGAGTCAAAGTCCGAGTCGTTTTACTTCGCGAGCACTTGCAGTTTTCCACAAAACGAAGTATCAGCGTCTGTACATAAGCACTCTCAAACAGCCAAGCTTATCGGAATCACTCGCTCATGGTCGAAAATGAAATTCCTCGTAAAAACCTGTTTAGTTTTTGACAGCAGTGGACTTTTAGCATATTTTTTGGGTTTTTTGCGCAGACACAAAGAAATTCAAAGTGAGCTTGATGCTTGGAGACCGCCGATGTTTATGAAAAAAGACTTGATAAGATTTGATTAAAATTGAATACAGGCCCCATAAACATAGTTATAACCGTTCCTCGAAGCAGAAGTTCGAGATTTTAACGCGGACCCTCTCCTTGCTTAGTGAGCAGCCGTAAAAGCTTCCATTACTACATCTCACTCTGTTGTGCCATTTTCTCGCTCGAAACGTGATCAATAAAGGTTACTGTTTTTGCACAAGTTCTTGCATTTTCTCAAGCAGAGAGTTGGTGGTGAAGGAGAAAAAAGGGGGAGGGGAGAGAGGTAGAGCGGAAAATAGTGCAGCGCCGATGAGTCTCAGAAAAGATTAAAGGCCTTCAACGATTCTGTTATGGTAATGCTTTAAACCTCATACTACTATTTATTCTTTCGCACGTGAAACAAAAAAATACGGGATAATTGAAAAGAACTCAATAACAGATCTGACATTCTGAACAAGCCCCACTTGCAAAGTCACTACATCTTCTTTACTGATGGGTGCTTTTAGTGACTGCGCTCACGAAGACAGATCGTGTCTGTGTCACTTCTCCATGATGCCTTTTTCTTGACCAAAAAGGTCTTCGCAGCCGTGTATCAAAGAGCATAGCTACCGTTCTGAAAATTGAACGTGTGGTGCTTTGAAGTGGTAGATTCTCATTGTCAAATCTTACCCGTCACAGATGGGAGACAGCTCCCACACGATTGTGTCCGCCCAAAAAACCCATATGCGTGAATCCACTAAAGGACTCAAAAAACATTGCCAAATGCAGTCGTTGCAATTGAAAAGATCTTGTACAAAACTCTAAATGAAATTAGTCTATTTTGGAAACAAGCGTTTACCAAAGTACCTGCCAAAACATTCTCAAGTTTTTCTTAGATTGATGATGTGCTGCAACACTGCGTCTCTGCAAATTTCTCGTTTTTTTACAATAGCAGGCAACTTTTATAACAAACGAATTTATAATGCGAAAACGAAAATTTAAGATAGTCTTAGATTGTAAAGCGTGAAGATGCAGTCGTACTATGCTTGCTTAAAAATTTTCTAAGGTTACGAAAACATAAATGTTTTGAAGCATGTGTATTGTAAGGAACCGCAAGTAAACACTTTTTAATTTTGACTTTCAAGTTGTGGTAAATCACGACTTCTGGAAAAACCTGTCATTCGCTTCATCTATCAAATTGTGTTCAACTTCATATAACTTCAACTCCTACCAACAACATTATAATCATTATGTTATATGATGTCAAGCTTTTCAAGATTGTTAAGTCCTTCCTTTATTGTCAGTAAAGTCAACAATCAGTACGGTCTAGGTTTCGGCGAAAATCGCCTTTGTCAAGACCTGCAAGTGAGTCAATCGTGCAATGATTCACTTTAAAAATAAATAGAATTAAACAGAACAATACCCTTGAATTTCTTCAAAGATACTGTATAGTGTAAGCGCACCACTCTGACAACGTGTCAGAGTACTACTCGCTGTTTTGTGTAATGGAATAAGCTTTCGTTTCAAGATTAGACTTGAATTTACACATTTGTAGGAAAGGGCGAGTTCGCTGTTGACAATCCCCTTCCTTCTGTTCCATTCAATTTAGGACATTTGCATGATATCCAGCAAGCCTCCATGGCTTTTGGTGCCTTGGCATTTTTTTTTTGAAAAAATAGCAATGGATTTCAAATTCCATATCCTAATGGCACGTTTGCCATGGGCGCTCAAAGACGTAGATACTCGCGATTTTCGCATCACATCTGAATGTTCGTCTATTCTTAGGCACAACGGTCTTCCTGTTTCTCAAATGAATTCCTCGCCAGACATTTTACAGGTTATAAAATACAAAGTGCCGCGGCACATGCAGTCTCCCGGTTTATTTGAATTGCATACAATGCAGTCTGTCTTCAAACACGCTTAGTCGTAACTTCTATTACGCACAAGGAGGTGATTTAGGTTCGGGGAGGGGTTTCAACAGGCCTCAGCAATTCTTGCAGGCCGGATTTATATATGCAACACCGAATCGAAGCGCTTAACTCATTAGATATTAAGGACATAAAGAATGGCAATCGTTGCTATGGCTGACATCACTGAGAATTTTAGCATTACGACAATCGCTTTTCTTTTCGCGGCAACCATCTGCTTTTGCGATTTGGAAACCCTGTTTAAGTGATGTGAACTTAGAGCATCATCAGAAGACACTCTTTTTGGAGTATATCTCATGTTTCGGATGATGCTAGGTCTCATTTGGGTCAGGTGTGCAGAGGGGAAGTGTAAAAGTATATTATTGTTGCCTAGTTTTCTGAACCAATTAATTTTTTTCTCCTTTGCGCAAGCAGATCTGGACATTTAGAAGATGTAGCCATCCCAGCCATCCCCGCTTAGGCGTTTCTCTTGTAAATTTGATGCCAACCATTTGATTATTAGTATGTCAAAACATAGCCCCTTCTCCGCTTGCGTGGGGAAACGATGAGTGTTGTCATCGATATACCTCAAGTGGGGGCTAGGTTGACGTTGGAAGTAAGTTCTTCTATTTTTGACATAAATGTAATCGATAGATAGGTCTACGCGCGGGGTGTCTACGTCTTTGAGCGCGCATCGCAGACGTGCTGCCAGGATATGGAATTTGAGATCAGCTTTACTGTTTATTCCAAAAAAATAAATATTGCTGCAGGAAAAGCAAAAGAGGCTTGTTAAATGTGATGCAAATGTCCTAAACTGAACAGAAAAGGAGAAAGGATGGCTGTCAACAATAAGCTCGCCTCTTTCATAGTGTGTGGAGGAGTCTAACCATATAAGGAAGCTTATTCTATCATACAAAACAGCGAGTGGTCTGACACGTTATCAGAGTGATATTTATTCACTATATACCTATACAGGGTGTCCGTAAAGTATGTATACACTGTTTGATCGTTAATATCTCTTTTCCCAAGAAGTCTTTTGCCTTGCCTCAGGTACCATTTTGTAGAGCTTTCTTCAACTTAGATTTACAGTATGGAGCGAATCACCCATCTCTCTTCATTACTGTAGGATTACGGTAGAAACTTCAAAGAGGGTTTTAAGAAATGAAAGGCCATATTTTGCCTCAGAAAGGAAACAAAACATCCTGAAAACTTTTACACTAGGCCAATCGGAGTTGCTGATTCTAAATGTGAAGTTCGCAACTCATTATGATGCTTCATTGAAGAGTTATGCCAGGTAAGAGGTAGCTGCCATTTTTCAATGTTCCTAAAAAGTGCGATTGCACCGTTTAGAAAGCTTTGCAATCTTGTGAATAGTTGAGTATTGAACTCAGCGTCTATAAGAACCCTATTACACAAGTTTTCACATTTATTTGAAAGTTTTTGAAACTGCAGCTTTTTTCACATTGATACCATATGTTTCAAGTTTCTACCGTAATCCTACAGTAATGAAGAGAGGTGGTGATTTGCTCCATACTCTAAATCTAAGTTGAAGCCAGCTCTACAAAACGGTACCTGAGGCAAGGCAAAAGACTTCTTGGGAAAAGAGATATTAACGATTAAACAGTGTATACATACTTTACAGACACCCTGTATATGTATATATCGTTGAAGGTATGTCTAATCCTAATCCTAGAGCGAATTATTGCACGCATTGACTGCTTCCAGATTTTGACAAAGGCGATCTCCGCCGAAACGTAAATTGTAATGATTTCTAGCAGTAGTGACAATAAAGGAAGGAATCACCAGTCTTGAAAAGCTTTCATATAACGTGTTTGACACTTTGCCAAGATTCAGAAATAGTCAAGATTCAGAAATAGTGAGATATTGTAACCAATATACTATACGTAATCATGTCTATTCATATAACCACCCATTCTGCATGTGCGGAAATCCCTGTGACGAAGGTGCATTTGTGTTCGATGAAGGAGCAGTGGTGTTTGCTCGTACTCAACACCAATGCATCGCAGTAGGAAGAAATGTTATGCTCATTTCTTGACCATATAGATGGAATTTTGCAGAAATCAAACGGGGTTTGTCTATGATCAAATTGCTATGAATGTGTAAAAGCTAGACCTCCTGAAAGCTTACCTTGAAAATCAGCACAGTAGCAACCAATGAGTTTAGCACCAAGATCGTGCCTGTCATTATCAGCACAGGATATATGAAGTTAAGTTTTTTATCCATATAATCGCAGTTGACGTACTTCCAGCTCATCATTTTGGCGTTATATACATATCGACAGTTGACTAAATTATATTCATCGCTTGAATTTATTGCTCAAAAGTTGAAGGATTACACTCACAAACTAGCATGTGAATGATCCAGTAAAGACCGAAACAAATGCCAACTCCTATGAAAAACTGAAATGCACTAATCAAATAAGAGCAATTTCTCTGCAATTCTTACCCATGCCGCTTCGACCGGGCAAATTCTTTCGTACTTCAGAGGGAATAAAAGAGCGGACATACGATTGTAAGTTATTCCAAATTGCACCAAAGGAAGAGCCAAGTAAGTAAAGCTAGCGAACCAGCATATAACTCTTCCAATCTCGTCGTACGCAGGCAGAAATTGGCTGAAATCAGTTTTCGGGGACCTGCAGATGAATTCATGTCAGAGGCACCAATAAAACTGATTGTCAGGAAAATAATGGCGTTTTCTCATGCTTCTGCGGCAAGATGAGCGCTGAAAGTCGCAGGTGGGACATTTTCGGCAGGGCAAACAAGCTCCAAAAAATGACAAGTAAATGACCCAGGGCCTGGCACCAGCTGGCACGGGGCAAGCTGGATATCGTTTTTGGGGCAAAAAGCAAAGGGGGTTTCGTTTTTGTGGGCGAAGACATACGCAAAATTGGCGGCGACGACCTTTTTTTTTTTTTTTTTTTTTTTTTTTAGTCGACGTTTCGTTTTTTGGGGGATTTTGGGGGATTTTGGGGATTTTTTTTTAGGATTTTAGAGGGGATATCGTTGAGGATCAAAGGGGACTTCGTAAAATTTCCCAAAAGTCAAGGGGGACTTCGTAAAAATTGGCAAATTTCAAAGGGGACTTCGTTTTCAAAATTCCCTGGTGCCAGCTCGTGCCGAGCCCTGAAATGACCGCATGAGTCCTGTTCTATGAAGGGCTTGAAACTGAAAGGTAAGACGATCTGAGTTCCTTAGATGTCAAACTGACCCAAAAATTCTTACAAACCTCAATCATCATACTTGAAACACAAGAATATTAACATACACTCAAAGTAGGTTCATAGTTACACATCAAGATAAAAGAAAAAGAGATGGCGAACTTCGCCACTAGCATTATACGCAACTAAACCAAACATCAGAGGATTTTAGCATTCGCCAAATTGCATAACCACTTAGCCGCTTATCAGAGCCTTTGTGGCTTCTGGGGTCATGTGCCACGTTACTGAGTGCTATAAAAAAGGTTGTGATTCATTTTTGATATACGGTCTGCTGACTGAGCATTCATCAGCTGTTTAGGTAAACTCTAGTTTAGTCTTCAAATTACTTTTGTAGCTCTAGGATTACTGACGCATTGTGTATGCATTTGATTATTTCAGACTCTGAAGGGACCAATTTACCCAAACTGCCAGTCAAATAAAAAAGATATGATTGCGGTGTCCAGTTAGAGTAGTTTCGAAAACAAATGCACGTTACCGAGATTGAATGACGGTCGAATTTGGATAAAAAGTACAACTATACATTTCCACACTTGTAGCAGTACAAACTCTGAGAAATATCAAGTTTGGGTGCCATTATTTTCCCGACAGCTCAATAATAAATTTTGGGGAATATTTGAAAGAAAGAAAACTAACAAAGCTGTATTTGGTCCTACATAAGAGACAAAGAGAAAAAGGTTCATCAGATTGTAGACTCCTCGAGCTATGCACAGTTGACCATAGGCCGTATGTCGGTCCTTCATAGACGACAAATTCATTATGTTGTTGATGTTCACCGAAAATCCGAACAAACCGAGCTGTAAAATATCATATGATCTTTCTATCGCTGATTTTTGTTTCTTTTTTGAGCTGAAGAATATATGTAAATATATGTAAAGGCTACTGCATGACGAAGGCGCAGAAGCAGCATTAGTTGAGCGGCGCGAACGCGGCGCACGCGTATCCTCACCGTTGTAAATCCCGCGCCTCATGCGCTCTGCGGCTAATATAGCCGCGTTCGCGCTCAAAGATATTGCGCTTTCGTCATGCAGCAGCGTATACAAGTCTGAGGTTTGTTTCATTAAATGTTGTAGACCACTTTTGTCTGTTCCACTCCAAGTTATTCAACCACCTTCTATTATGTAGAAACAGAAAAACTCTTTGCAAATATAAATTATTTCATGTGAGATTGTTCCAAAAAGCTATTGTCATTTTCTGAAATCTATGCAAAAAATTCTGATGTGAAAAAAAACTAAAGTAGACTCCTCAAGCTGTACAGCAACAGTGGCACTTCCGGCGTCGATGTGCCCGCTGCAGACATCATAGGTCTCATTCATTAATGAACGTTCAGTTCAACATTCATGTTATTTTCAGCACTGCACATTATGTTTCAGCCAAAACTTTAAAGTTCCTAAAAATTTGTCTGAAGGGGTGCACACTTATTGTCGGCTGTGAATAGCAGATAGCGCTTGCCTTTAAAGGCACCGTCCACCCAAAATGGAGGTTGGCGAGATTATGATGGCATACTAGTGTGGGCCCCCACACTAGGCAAACCCCTAAGCTTCGCCGCGAAAGACTGCTTCTGGAACGAGAAATCCGCTCCGGAAGTAGCAAAGTCATAGTCGATGGACCATGGTCGCCCCGCCTCGCCTGCGCTTGTTGCAGAGGGTTCTCGAAACAGGGATTTTTGGGGGTTTCGCGGATTTTCGACTCCATGTTCGGAATCAGGGCTTTCAGAAGGCCTGAAGGAGACAAAGACATTGAATTCGAGATTTTGGGTGGACGGTATCTTTAAGACGCCATCTAGCCGCTCTGTGTTTGTGTTCTTAGCTATTCTCGGGCAATTGCTTTAGCGTAGTAAGTGGCACGATAGTTGTATAATGATAACCAGCATGCTATGCAGTGCTTGTACTAACAAGGAAATGTCGTTTGGCCTTTTCAAGTAAGTTCTATACTGCTTTAAAGAGCATTGAACGCGAACTTTGAATCTGTTTTCATTATCGGCCAAGCTCTTCTGGAAGCCGAGTTATGAGTGTATTTTGAGGCACAAAATGAGCGCAGGGTCTAAGCAATATTGACACGTTACGGTCTTTTCAGCGCTCAAAAGGTCTTACCGTTTTTTCGGCGTTGTTTGTTGCAGCAGCCTTATCTCTAGGTGAGAAAAAATCTTTAGGTAGCTCCAACAATCGTTATTATCATAGCTTTTGATCCTTTTGGTCTCCGGATCGCAACATTAGTGGTTCGAGAGGAGAAGTCAAACTTGATGTTAAAAATTTTTGCACATTAGTAATTGGCTGTTATTATTAGGGCGAATGGCGTAAAAAGCTCTGTCAGATGGCAGCCAAAAAGAAATAAATAACATGAATCTACATTCACGAAACTGCTAATGACCATATCTCTTTACTTTAAGCGTTGGGGCCAGCAAGAAATGGGTTTTGTGACTATACCTTCACCCAATGCAGCAGTGGTACTTTGGATGGTCTCGCATGTTCCACTGCGCAGATACTGCTCAATGTTGATAATTTGTCGAATAATTAACTTTGCATCTCAGCAAGTATAAATAATATTAAGTATCTGATTGACCTCAAATAGGTATCATCTGAGAGGGAATAATATTAGGTTGTTGCAAAAATAATGTCCCTTTCGCAAATTTTCAATTTGGAGGGCTATAGCTTCGTTCAGTCTTCATATTTTTGAATGCAGTCAAGACCTTCAGAAACAGCAAACCTTTCGTAATTTAGCACGCACCTGCTCATACTGATAGCGCAGTTGGGAAGAAAACCACGCGTCAAAAAGCTAAAAGTTTTTTTTCTCGAAAACCTCTTCTTTAAGAGCTTACAACTCCCTTCAAGTTTTGTTCGTATGGCTGGCAATCAGCTTATTTTGTAGCAGCAGACCAAGAGTTTATGAGGGTATAGAAAAGACTCCGCGAAAGAGTTCTGCGAAAAGAAAAGACAAAAATTCAAAAAAAGTTCACTTTCCTGAGCCTACTTGTTGTAGGCTTATAAGTGTCAAACTGGAAAAACTTGAAATTCTTCGCGCAGCGAATAGCTGAGTTTCTCTTCAAATATTGTAGTTGAGGCATGTTAATCTCAAGTTTACAGAAATGGGCGAAGCTTTGGCGATTGTTTTAATTATGGGAAATTTCTGATCCATAGAATGCCAGCAGTGAGTATCTCTTTCGAGGCGTCCATTTCTCAGTCCAGATATCTCCAAAAATCCACATAAGCACGCTGTAGGTAAACAATCTTCATCCAATATAAATGCTATGTTTTCAGAAGAATTCGTTCATTTGCGCCTGAATTGTGGCCACAGAAACTCAAGCATCGAAATTTCAATTTTGAGTGCAGTTGTGCGAGGTGCTGGTGAAATTCTCACATATGAGGATAGCAGCCTATTTCCACCATCGTTAGAAAGTACATAAAGAGGGCTTTCCAATGATATGCAAATTCTGTATCGAAAAAGAAAGTTTGATGGAAAAAAAGTTGTTTGAAATATAGGCCTAGAAAAACGGACATTATTTTTGCAACAACCTAATATAATCTAATATTTATCTATTCGGAAAGTTCAATCGCTTTTCTTTCTTGAGAGATCTACAGCTATTCTCTAAGTGTCTTATTTTTTACGTTCACCGTAAATGCCTTTGCAGATTTCAGATATCGAACTGAAAATGAGTCGGCTTACTCAATTCATGTACAAACTTTATGGATAGAACCATGCATACTGCGTGTTAACTCATCACCGTATAAGTGCCGTAAGCAAAAAGAGACCACTCGAATACAATGATCATTATTCTCGTGATTAGCATGTCAAACAATTCTCATTAACCAACTTTCAGCAACTAAGCTAGTATAACTGCATGTCAATCTATTTGAACGAATAGCGCCTTTATTCATCGGGGCAGAAGAAGCGCAAAGCTTAATTTTTAAAATGGTAGTTCGAAGTTAAACCAAAATCTCATTTAGTTTCTAAAAATACGCCTTGTTGCTAAATGCAAAATTTCCTTTACTGAGAGTTGAAAAGTCAAATATTCTGAGTGTGGTAAACTTCTGAGAGTGTGGTTTAGAAAACCAAGTGCATCGATGCATGTTCTTTACGCGATCGCGGCAGGAGATATTTTATAATGTAGTAAACACCTTAGAAAAAGGCAAGCTCTGAAGGTTTTCATCAACAATCGCGCAAAGTTCGAATTAGGTGAAGTTTGAAAGCAAAGAGCTCCGTCTAAAAGATTTTGCGAATCTCCGACTTGATCACACATATACTGACAATATCAGATATTCAAATGTAAATTGCTGTATTTTTCCCCACAGTTGAATGTTCAGAAAATGAAAGTTGGCGCGCTTTTGCCTGCAAAGCTTTGGAAAT